AACGGTAGCTAAAACTCTTCGTATCCCGCAAGAGTGCTCTTGTCATAATCCACCGCAAATCCCAATTAAGTGTACCCAAAACGCGAAACCCATAAACAAGACATAGTATATATTGCAAGCCATAGTATATATTAGGGTCTGTAGAGGTTACTCAGCTTCATCCATGCAGTTCCAGGGGGCTCCAGGGGCCTCAGGGGCTCCAGGGGCCAAAATGCGCCCACTGCCATGAAACTTCAGGCGGGCTGGTCAGGCTGGACTAGGCCACCCACCATGGCGGGGGGGTTGGTTCGGGAGGGGGAGTAGAGGGAGTTTTTAGAGGGATCTGAACGCCCTGAGGCTGGATGCCTCGGCGAATTTTAGGAAACACATAGAGAGACTGATCAGGAATCTTGCAACACTGAGCTGGGTGATCAGCTTCTTGCAGAGGCCTGGGCGAGATTGTTGCTTGCGTTGATGCATGCTAAAACTGCTTAGAACTCACATCCAAAGCTTATTGGGTTGGGGGAGGTCACGTCTCCACCTCCACGTGGCGTCTAGTACGGGGCACAGGAATTCTAGCTTGCCATCCGCGGTCTATCTGTGAGTCCAAAGCCTGACCTTTATGAACTCTCTGGACCTCATCCCTAAACCCTAAACCCTAGCCTTAGACCCTCCATAGCTCTCTGCCCGGAGCTTGAAACCAGAATTGCTATATCACGAGCCTTGCGACCCAAGTTTGACATTTCTCAGCAGTCACCGTTCCCGCATAAATTTGAATTCTGACAGCAAATTTCCCGAGCTCATGTTAGGAGGACTCCTCTCATAGGGGCGCGTAATGTTGAAGCCACCGTCTCATTACAGAGTTGAAGGGTATGGGACCCGCCATGGCCTTGTCAGTTTACCCAAGAGAGTGTAGGCACCCATGCGTGCATGCATGCGTGCATGCATGTATGCACGCATGTATGCATGCATGCATGCATGCATGCATGCATGCATGTAGGAAGTTATGTATGTATATACAGACAAATACGAGGGCATTGCTGTTTGAGGCAGGCGTCCTCTTTGTACGTGGAGCTCACAAGGGTTACCCGCTTACAGGACGCTAATGTGCATGGAGGGCCTTCTGCACCTGTATAAGTTCCTTATACCCTCAGTACTACAGTACCCTAAGGGTCCAAGGACCCAAATAATAGGATTTCAGGGCCCAACTATTTTAATGTCAATGGTATTTGGGCCCTAAAACCCTATTATATGGGTCCTTGGACCCTTAGGGTTCCTTATGCCCTACGAACTACATCACATTGGGGATCCTAAGTGGTGCAAGATGTCCCCTATCCACAGTAGCTCATAAAGGCTCATGTGCTCATGCTAGACGCTATCGCTAAGCCACAAAGCACGTTTAGCATGATTTTCGTTGCGCGTAGAATCCAGGAAGGCATGAACTTCAGGACAGGTGCTCTATCTCTCTCTTTCTGTCTCTCTCTCTTGGTTTAGGGTTTAGGGTTTCAGGGTTTAGGGGTTCAGGGTTTAGAAACCCTAAACCCTAAATAGAGGTTTCCATTTTTTCCAGCATCCTTATATAACCCCTACCTGAACCCCAACAGTATGCAGAATAATTGCCTTTTGGGCTATATTTAGGGGTTTTGGGCTATCATTTTACCTACTTTTAGGGTCCAGGTATAAAATTGCTATTATCCCAGCCGACGCCTCGAGGCGGAGAGCTACTTCGTCAACAGGTTTCCCGAGTTCTCCAAGCCGGGGCCCGGCCCATACGGGGTTCCTCACGTCTTCATCAATGGCGTGCAGGACGGGATGAGGGATTAGGGTTCAGGGTTTAGGTTTCAGGGTTTAGGGTTCAAGGGGTCAGGGTTTTGGTTTAAGGTTCAGGTTTTAGATCTAGGGTTGTTGTTGCTTAGTACCAGTAGCACCAGTAGTAGTAGCAGTACCAGACTAGTACGACTAGTACTGGTAGTACACCAGTCGTACAGGAAATCAGCATCCAAGGATAGTCAAACCATGCTGCAGCTGCTGCCACCTTAACACTTGCACCCCTGACAAACCCTAAGGCTCTAATGCTATGGTTTACTTGGGCCGCAGAGTACCTGCGTAAGACCTTCTCTGTATTTCGTATGACATTCGTATCTATACTCTTGGGGTATGCAACTTACTGAGATCTGCAGATGTCTGGAAAGCCTGGAAGCCTGCACCCTACGATCCTTCAGGGGGTCTACATCCTAAACACCTCAACATTGGTAGGCTCCATATTATGGGATCCTTTGGGGAGTCAGGCTACCTTGGGCTTCTGACTGCTGTAGACTTTGTGTCCAGACTCGTTTCTCATATTTTGGAAACAGCAAACTAGTGGTAGGATTGAGGACAAATGTCAAACTCTTACTCCAAAGGGTCCGGGCATCTGTAAAGTACATACTTAAGCCCCAAAGTACCAATATCGGAAGCTTTTGGACCTTTTAGGAATAGGTACCTGCACCACTTGGGAAACTTATTGCGCAGGTGGGGCCCCATGGGTACGCGCGCCTCTCCAACTACAGCAACACTATGAAACTCCTATGTGACGCCGGGCTCCATTCCGACGTTTGCGGCCATGAAGTGATGGTCTGAATGACGTGTGTGTGATAAGTACCCAGGGTTTACGGGTGTAGGGTCTGTTGAGTTTTGATTATCATATGCTTTTGTATATTATATTATAGTACATTATACGATAATCTGCTATGTTTTACCATACTACTTTGAAAAAGAGGAGCCATGGAGATCTCATACGATGCTGTAGGACCATAGCATTACCATGACAGGGCTCAGAATAATTAGGCACGAGAAGGGACCTCCGCAGCTCGGGCTACTGTTCCACGCGATGCGCAGGTCTTGCGGTAGACATGGGTTGTGCAAACTTGTAAACCCTAAACCCTATACCCTACCTAGAGGGTCCAAGGACCCAAATAATAGGGGTTTAGGGCCCAAATACTATCATATTAATGGTATTTGGGCCCCAAAACCCTATTATTTGGGTCCTTGGACCCTTAGGGCTATATTTGAAAACGCAGGCCAGCAAAGGCCTTCACAGGAGCTGCATGCAAGTTGACCTTAACAGCTGCAAATTACGACGCCGATGTTGGCAGCCTTTTAACAATTTACCTCCCGCAAACTGACAAGAGCGATCATAGAGCTCCCCTTCTTAAAGGAGAGTAGTCTGCGTAGTGACCTGTTGATAGTGTTAGTGGATGCCTTGTGTGGTATCTACCCATCACCCAGAACATCCTTATAGAACCGTATATGCCCGCTTGTTAATGCCTATCAAGCCCCTTCTTCCGGTTCTGTTAGTTGGGGGAGTACGAACCCATCAAGCCTTAACCCGATACATCGCTAGATATATTCCTACCCCTCGATGTGAGCAGAGAAGCCTGAATAGGACCCCCAGAACGCTTTTGTACTGCAATATCTCTAACCCTAAACCCTGAATCCTAAACCCTAGACTCTGAATCCTAAACCCTAAAACCCTGAATCCTAAACCCCGAATCCTAAACCCTAAACCTAAATAAGATCCCTATAATCCGTCTGTCTGGGGCTACGGGGTAGATTTGGAAAGTTCATACCTCTTTGCATCCCTACAGTCTCTATATCCCGTATACATATACATATGGTTTAGGGTTTAGGGTTTAGGTTTATATGTACATATATATATATATGTATATATGGGTGGTTGTCAAAATTATGGTCCCTTTTTGGATCCCTATTATAATACTGCACCTAATATTTAGGGTACCCAAGAAGGGACCATCATTTTGACAACCACCCATATAGGGTTTAGGGTGGAGGGCTTAGGGTACAGGGTAGAATATGTATATACACACTGTGTAAAGCCCTGATTTGGGGTTGCAGGTCAGTTTGAGGGAGGTCTGTCCTTAAGAAGAACTCTTAGGACCAGACCCACAGCTCGCGAGGAAAAGAGGACAGGACGTGGTGTAGGGCTCAGGGCTTAGGGTCTAGGGCTTCGAGTTTGGGGAAGGGCCTAGGGCTTTCGGGTTTAGGGTCTATAGTCTATAGGGCTTAGGGTTTGAGGTTTTGGAGCTTAGGGTCCAGGGTTTAGGGTTTAGGGCTTAAGGGACATGGTGAGCAACTTAAGCACGAGCTTGCGGGGAATGTCTCAACCTTCTGGGGAGGATGGCTGGCTATCAGGGGCTGTAACTGGGGTATTCTCATCTAGCTGTTTGCTCATGGTTTCTAAACCCTAAACCCGAAACGCTTGGGATGAGGGTATCAAGTTGAGGCTGCCTTGGTCCTGACTTGTTCTGAGCTATACGTATACCTCCTCAATACCTATCTTAGTACGCTGGAACCTCAATGTGGTGAGGATGTAGGCTTAGGTGAAGATGTTTTGTATTAGCACAGCTATACCATCATTGCATTCATACAGAAGCCCAACTTCCCGAACCTTGATATTCCCAAGTCATCGATTTTTTGGCATAGCCCTGAACCCCCAAACCGCTCTGTTTCTTCTTTTCATCAAGATGGCCAGGTGGCTTTTGCCATGGACAAGGGGGAAGTGCTGGACTTGCCGCAGGCGGGCTGCGCATGTTTCAAAGCTCACGTATAGTGTTTGGTTTAATGTTTGGTGGTTCAGCGGTTTAGGCTTTAGAGTGTAACTCCAGCCCTGAAAGCAAGGACCCTGTCGCGCAGCTAAACCCTTTATTGACACCAGCATATCTCTTTGTCTTCAGGAGGCCTGACAGCCCTGAATCCTAAACCCTGAACCCTAAAGTCTAAACCCCAGAACCCTAAACCCCAAACCCTAAGCCCTAAATCCTAAACTCTAAATCCTAAACCCTTCAAACCCTTTTTAAAACCCTACTAAAACCTTGAACTCAGGATGCCAGGGGCCTCACTATTGGGCTTGGCTGGGACACCGATGGCGGCGAGGCTGGTGACCTTTAGGGACTTGAATTTAGGGTTTATAGGGCTTGGGGATTAGAACTTTGGGTTTAAGGTTTAGGGGTTTAGGGATTAGGGTTTAGGATCTAGGGTTTAGGACGTAGGGTTTCGAATTTAGGCATTTGGGAGCTAGGAAGTAGGGATTCTGGTTCAGAGATCAGAATTTTAGGTTTTTGATGATGGAAGTCAGGTTCAGGGTTTAGGGATGAGAGATTCGGGTTTAGGGACTCGTCATACAAAGTACTTCCATATAGTCTAATGAGGTTTCATGAGTAGCAAACAGCAGGACCGTCCACGACCCTAAACCCTGAACCACCCTAAAACCTAAACCCTAAACCCAATGATTGGGGCTATCATCTGCGCTTCGGCAAAGAACAAAATTGCACGAGAAAAAAAGAAGTACAGTGTGGGTAGTAGATCGTGAGAACCTTTGCCCTAAGGGTCCAAGGATCCAAATAGTAGGGTATTTGGGCCCAAATACCTTTAAGATTATAGTATTTGGGCCCTAATACCCTATTATTTGGGTCCTTGGACTTTTAGGGTTGTATTTCAGGAGTATGGGGGGAACCCATACTTTGCACAATGGTTTTTCGCAGTTGAGAACCCAGAAAAACAACTTGTGTACTGAATAGTTTGGTATCTGTACGTTGTTCCGTCTAGGTCACTCAAGACAGAGGCTCAAAGGCTAAACCTTAGGGTTTCGGCCCATCAACAATTGCATCAAGCTTTTCCAAGACACAGGGCTTTTGGTGTATAGGGTCTAGGGTATAGAAAGTCCCTACAAAACTGGGTTATGAGCTTCACCCAAATGTATGTAGGCTATGACTGCAGCTACAGGCAGTTAATTTCCATCTTTCAAGTTTACGCTTGGGGTACCAGCTTTTCCCTAAGGGCCCGAGGGCCCAAAGAATAGAATCTTAGGACCCAAATACATTAATATTAAAGTATTCGGGCCCTAAAACCCCATTATTTGGGTCCTTAGACCCTAAACCCTAAACCCTATGTACCCCTATAACTCTTTTAAAGGGACCCTATCATTTGGGTCCTTGGACCCTTAGGGTTGACTTAGAGTAGATAGAGGTTAACCGATTCTCACAGATGCTCGATACCGAATTTACAGCCATCCCCGGGGATACTAGGCGGTTTAGGGTTTAGGGGGGTTGAGTAGTATTTAATTTGGGCATACTGTGGTACCCAAAATAGAGTAAGATGTTATCCTCCTTTTGGGGTATAGCATCTTATATAAGGAGCATTATCTTACTAGGTTCAACCACCAAAAAACACTACTCGTCTTAGTTACAACCCTAGACCCTAAACCCTATAGTCCCCTTTAAGTAGATAGACTATAGGGTATATGGGGATCCTGTTATATTAATATTCCCAAAGCTATATATAATCTACTTAAGGGGGACTCTAAACCCTAAACCCCAAATAAGTGGAGTACAATTACCTTCAACCTCCAAATATGTACGAAGTCCTGAAACAGCTGCAGACATTGCTCTAGGTTGATTTGGACGTCTCAGCCGCCGGGTACCCAGAGACGCAGCAGATTTGATGATGTGGGGATTACATTTCTGATCTGAAGCCCCATCTTTTGGGCTCTTATCTTAGTTCCTTACCTAGAGGCTCCAAGGACCCAAATAATCGGGTTTCAGGGCCTAAATATTATATTATTGATGGCATTTGGGCCCTAAAGCCCTATTATTTGGGTACTTGGACCCTCAGGGTTAGGATTTCAATGTAGGGTTTACGGTTTACGGTGGCTACACACCCCATCCAGTCAGGGAGCTCAAAAGGTGGGATGAATGTAGCTGGGGTAAAGGAAATAAGCCCCAACATAGTAGAATCTACAATAGGGCTCCTTTAACCCACCTGGCTTTATTCCACCTTTTGAGCCCACTGAATCCACTTCTACATCCCTCCCTCCTAGTAGCAGCTGTCCCTGCGTTGTCCAAAAGCAGCCACAGCCACTTCTTTTCCATTTCTTACTAAGTTCCCTGAGTCTTCAAGTCTATAACACCCCATACATCCCCCAAACCTTAGACCTAACATCCTTTTAAAGGGGCCCTGAACCCTAAGTCTTCAAGTGGGCTATAGTCTACACTCCTAGTATCCCCTTAATAGCCTCCTATATAACCACTTTAAGGTGCGCAAGGCTGTACGCTCGGGGCTGAGATGCACCGCATGCAGTTGTTTAATGAAGATTGGCCAGTACCGCACCAGCAGCGGTTCATTATCATTGACCGTGGTCCTAGAGTTGGCCATGCTATGTCTTAGTTCTCAGCTGCTCGTGTGGCATTGGCGTGGTCTCAAAGTGGCCCCTCCGACTGGCATGCCTGAATATTGGAAGTTAAAAGGTCCTAACTGTACCAGGCCGTCTTGGTAGAGCGTTCGCCTTATAAACGACGTTGTCCACTTTCTGATTTGTGCGCGCTGCCTTTCAAGTTCGACGAGGAATTCCCAACAACACCGTGCAAGCGCAGCAATTTCGATGCCCGATTCCTCCGGCATGTTCTGACTGACCCAAGCCATTGACTCGTCATGAGAGCGGCCGTTTTGCTTAAACAAAAGAAATGCCAGCAGAGCTAAAAGAAGTGGAATGTGCAGAAAACCCACACTCCGACAGTCGTTTTGCTTAAGCACAAGAAGATGCCGGCAGAGCTGAAGGAAGTGGA